GAAAATTCTGTTCTCTCTGCTCTGACTGAGCTGCTGGAGTAGGTCAAAAAGCTACATAACACATCTCCCCTTAATGCAATTTTTCCTGAGCAAAAACTCAATCAGGTGCTGCTTGGGAAAGGGAACCATAGGTGCCTGAAGCCATTTGTCACTCTGACAGAGTTCATTTGCATTGCCCACAAGGTGTCATTAAACCTGCTGGGTAATAAATATGGCTGTAGTTAAAAACATGCTGTAAAGTGATATACCAGATTATAAGGCATCATGGCCTCTAACACATCACAAAATGTAATTACCTTGATCTTAAACACATTTACTTGACTCATTTCCAGAACTGTGGGCTTGTCATGTTTTATACTAACGGAGAAACGGCATGGTGTAGCTAGAATTAAGCCAAAGAAGAGTTTAGTTTGATTGTGTTTGCTGTGGGCTCACTGGTGTTTTCTGCAAACACTGCTGTTCTCTTGCATCCAGGGAAAATAAGGAAGCACCACCTGTTCTCGAAGCATCTCCTTAAATAAAGATTTTAGGAACTGTCACTCCACCAAAAATGAGTAACAATTGAAGATCTCTTTCCCAGAAGAAGAATAAATCCTGATAGTCATGGATAATCACCTGAATACAGGGGGGAAAGTTAAGGTTATTCCCAAGAAACATATGCAGGGTAGTGGCCAATTTGTATTACCTTCTAATAGCTTCTAATATTATTTGTTTAAGGTTTTACAGACCATTCTCTCAGCACATACAGTTTACAAATAGTTATTTCATCTGATGTGGGACACCAGCTATTATAATGAATGGCAGTGGTATGCTTATATTCTGGCTTGTGATACTCCTTGATCCTGTAGAGGATCGGCAATTAGTTCGAAGCCTCCAGTTCCTCCAGTCTTAGGAGGCTGAATTCTTCTCCTCTTCTTTGCCTGGATTAACTATTTCTATTAGGGATGCAAGATGTGCAATTGCTGTTTTTCCAACCTGAATCTGAGTTAAGACATTCCTACAATAGATTCAGGTCTCAGGTTTGTGGGGAGGTAACTTCTAGCACAGCTTTGCTTAAGATCGTAGCTGTCTTCGCTACCCGAAATGTCAAACCATATCAGCTCATTTTCAAGGTAAATAGCCGTGCTTCCCTTACTGTCCCTTTCCCTACCTTTCACCCTGTTCTATTGTGTGTTTCTGCATGTTGTAGAAACACCATACAATTGACAGGCGGGGTCCCCCAGGGCTCTATCCTGGGGCCAATCCTGTTTAATCTTTTCATAAATGACATGGAAGAAGGGGTGAACAGTCTGCTGATCAAATTTGCAGACACTAAAACTGGAGCAGTAGCCACAACTGAGGAGCAGGTACGGACTGTGGATCTGGATGGACTATGAAAGTAGGCAGGAGACAACAGGATGGCGTTCAATGTGGATAAGTGCAAGGTCTTGCACTTGGGGCACAGGAATATGTGTCATAAGTACAGGTCAGGTAACAAGGTCAGGTGCAGGTCAGGTGACAAGTGGCTGGAGAGCAGCACTTGTGAAAGGGACCTCGGGGTACTGGTTGACTGCAGGCTAAACATGAGTCAGTAGTGTGATGCAGTGGTCAAGAGGGCAAACGCCACCCTTGGTTGCATAGCCAGAAGTGTGGCTTCTAGATCGAGAGAAGTATTACTACCACTCTATACGACTCTGGTGCACCCGCAACTGGAGTATTGTGCTCAGTTTTGGGCCCCTCATTACAGAAAGGATATAGCGAGGTTGGAGTCAGTGCAGCGTAGGGCCACAAGGTTGGTGGCCATTTTGCAGGGGATGGGGTATGAGGCGAGACTGAGGGAACTGGGTCTCTTCAGCCTGGAGGAGACTCAGAGGGGATATGTTGGCAACATACAGGTATGTGAGGGGATGTCACACGGAGATGGGTAGAGACCTGTTCTCCCCTGCAGAGGAAGGCAGGACGTGCTCCAACGGAGCAAAGCTCAGGGAGCCAAGGTTCCATTTGGATGCCAGGAAGCATTTCCTGACAGTTAGGACCCCGAGGGTGTGGAATGGGCTTCCACGAGAGGTCGTTGAGGCCCCATTGGTGAGGGTGTTCAAAGACAGGCTGGACATGCACATGGTGGGCATGTCGTGAGTGGAGCTCGCTGGTGCCGGAGGTCAGACTAGATGGCCCGGGAGGCTCCTTCTGACTCGCTCTGTTTCTATTACAGGCAAGCAGTATAAACATTAGTAATGTTCATAAACTATTGTTACTAAAACTGAATGTTGAATATTGTGTGTTTGGAATAAGGAGCAAACTTTTAAAACTAAATGATGTTGGCTTAAAATGCCCTAGAGTTTTAGAAATGACCTTATATTTGAGGACAGGAGGAGACATTTTGATGCATGCTTATGCAGAAGTAAGCGCTACTTAGTTCACTGTGGTCTATTCCAAGTGGTCTTTGGGACTAAACCCAAAGGGTGTTTTCACAAGCAAGGCTAAATACATGATTAAAGTACATGATCTATGATTGTTATAGATGCAGGATACTAGATACAGAGCCAATATAAATTCAGTTGTACTTCAGCCAATGATTTATATCCAAATTTCAGGTAAAGGACTAACAAAAGCCTATTTAAACATGTCTTGTGACATGGCCCAAAACTTGTTGGTCAGATGTTCTAGCCAACTACACACAGTAGGGAAAGCTTCAAGAGGACGGGAATGATTCCCCCTTCAATCAGTGCTAAAACATTTATACTCCATTAATTTTATTGCAGTTATCTATTGCTTATGTCACCGGAAATTGTGCTCTTTTAACAGTAAGAAAATAGCAACAATAGCAAAATTAATCATTCTAACAGTCCAGCTCTGAGAAACATGCAGGCCAGTTGTGCAAACAGAAAACTATCTGGAGGGAAAATTCTGTTTTACTGAAAATCATGCACATTTCAAGGAACATCTATTCATCATAGGAAAGAACCAATGTACTTGTCTCTGTATGAACCAAACATTACGAAATCCATTTGTACTTGGCTTTCATTCTAATACTTTCCTTCCAGCTTTCCTTTTACACTAGTTGTTCCTATACTGTTAAGTTATTTTATATACATACAATTCTCTTGGTAAAAGTGTTCAGTGCAAATGATTGTTTCATTTATTGACAACGCTTTTGGCTGGGTAATCATATGTAGAATTATTTAAAAGGTACATACAAGAACCTTTTGAGATTCTTTTATTTCGTGGCTATTGCATTATGTTTCTGCTATATTTTGCTGGTTCACACCTAAACTCTAACCAAGATTTGATGCTACATGATGAGCCTTATAGTGGCATAGTCCCTTTTTGCCCTTTTCTCCGCTTTCACCACACTTAATTAATTTCTTCTTGGTTTGTAGCCAGTCATAATATACCATTATATATGATCCAGAAAATTGTGTTTTGTGCATGTCCTGCAAATCAGGAAGTAGGGTTTCTGGTTCAGATGTAATGGCAAACTATGGTCTTACATAAACCCAGAAATAACTCAAAATCAGCAGTTCACATTTGGAAACTAGGAGTGTGCAAGTACAGGGTTTATTCCCATAATGCAAAGCTGTAACTTGGAGCTGCACGTGAAGCAGCCCAGTGTTCTTTGTATTTTGTTATTAGTGTTGTTTTATTTTTTTGAAAATAAAAAATATTTTTTGGAAAAGTGACAGTACAGAACATTGTTCTCTTAAATTTGACATTTCAACACTCTGACCTTGCATTAGACAGTAAGGGGTTTCTATCAATGCAACAGCATCTGCTGCCTTCAGAATTTATATCTATCTTAGTGTGTGTCTATCTCACTTGAATTCAGAGTATTCTACCTACATTAGTTCAGTGATCTTTGCCACAGGTAGGTCAGTATTTTAAACTCATACTGGGGACAGAATATTGAGGTTGAGGAGTATAGTGGATTGCCTATGAAGTTCATAACAAGTGCAAGATCTGAACCAAGGACTTTGCAATTCAGCACTTTGTCTTCTAGCTGTATCCACTGCACAGAACCCAGGGACATTCTAAACTTGACTGCAAATACACATTATATTTGCTTCATAGATTACTTAATGGCTTGAGGGTAAAAGGACCACACCAAAAAAGTTGCCTGGTGGGGCCATTAAGTATCCCATTGACTAACAGTATGGTTGTTTTATTTTACTTACTTTATTTACTGGGTGGCTCTCCTGACAAATGGAACAAAAGGCTAATTTGCCAAACATAAAGACCCTATTAAGATGCAGCAAAGTGGTCACATTTTAGCATTTTAAAAATTTTGGCTCAGAAAACAGAGAAAACAGCAACCTTAGACATTGATCCGACTTTTACTTATGGAAAGCCTCCAATTCCAAGTTTAACTAACAGAATGTAAGGTTCAGTTCAATGGGAATGCCTGTAACTCTCCAGGCTCCAAACATGCAGAGTGGAAGCAGCACAGAGACAAAGCAGGTAGATATGGCTGATCTTGGCTGTCTAACTGTGGCATGTCAGATCAGGAGGAAAGGATGTTGAGGAGCAGCCAGAATATGGCCTATCTTGGCAGCACTGATATCCTCTTTTCCATGTTCCCTAAGCCATTCCCCAAAGCTGCTTTGATGACTTCCAAGAGGCAGTGTGAATCTTTTCTGCACTGGCTGCAACGGGTGGGGAGAAGAATCTGAACACAGATCTAGTGTCGGAGCTCTTTTCTAACGTTAGACCTTAGAAAGTGAAAAATCCTATGGCTCTTTGGGTGTTGTCTGGGGGCCAAAGGATTGCTCTGTTAATTAGCCAATATAAGCAAGGATTCAGACAGAGTGATCAAATTTGTCATTTCTGGCCTTGAAATTAATGAGCAGTGGATCTGCTCATGATCAATGGAATTGAGGCATGGCAAACTTAATTTTCAAGAAAAAAACATACTATGTGATTTTTTCCAGAAGTTAGGTGTTGCCCAGTGAGAGAGACAACCATAGGATCTCTTGCATTAGAAATGCTGTCTGTTGTAAATACTGTTTTGATTTGTTCCCTTCTAGAGGATTATGCCCAGTTGTGTAACATTCCAGTTCCTGGATCTCGGAGGCCATATGGACAAGATGCGTTGGTTGACTTAGAGGAAGAACGCTACACTCCAGAAGCTAACCCATACTTTGTGGAAGACCGTAAGTGACCTTTACTTCATAATATGGAGAAACCATAAATTGGATTCTCCCTTGTATTAAAAAATGCCCACTAGTTCAGATTCTAACATTTTCATTTGCTCTGCTTACGTGTTGTGGTATTGTTTTGTGTTTCCTGACAGATGTTCTTATCAGAATACAAGAAAAACATGTTGTAATAGACCATTGATTCATCTGATCTAGCACTCTGTTCACATGGTGACAAACCAGCTGCCCACAGGATCCTTGAACAGAATGGGTACAAGAATTCCACCTGCTCAAACTCCTCAGCAGCTGGTGTATGCAGACATGCTGCCTCTGAGAACAAACACAACACATAGTCAGCAAGGCTAGTGGCCCTTGCTAACCTTCTCCTCCATGAATTTGCCTGTTCTCCTTTGAAACCATCCAAATTGGTGGCCATCTACTTCCTGATATTTGAGTCAGGAGCTCCTATACAAGTTCAAGTGGACCCCACTGTTAAATTTACTGTGTGCTCTACTTCTGCATGTGTATAGGCCTGGGACAGAGCTGAGTAGAATCTGTCCGTCTAGCATTCATGGACTTCCTCTCATGGTCAGCCCAGTCTTAGAAAGCAAGTCAAGAGGAAGTCTGCAAATCCTTCTGGAACGAAAGTGGCACAGCTGGTGGGCTGCTTCTGTATCACTTGCAGCAGTACAAATAAAGGCTGCTGCACACAGCGCAAAAGAGGAACATTGCTTGCCCAGCATTTGTGTGGCATTCTGTTCCTGACTCAGGGCCACAACAAAATGGGCTGGGCATTCTCACCCCCAAGACAGATTCCTCACACATCCCTCCATGTGTGTATAACACTCACATGGGACTGGTTGATGAGTTTCATCCCAGTGTGACCTGTGGATGCTTAGGGCCATGCTGTGGTGGGTGATTTCACTGTCTTGCAACCACTGACTGCTTCCACATCACTTCTTCGTTGCAAATCAGTCCTGCCTTGGGCCTTTGTTGTTGTTGTTGTTGTTGTTGTTGCAACATTCAAACCTACAAACAACCCAAAGTTTTTAACCATGCTTTCTAATTGAGATAAATCTCTAGGTTGTTCATCTTTCAGCAACCCAGAGTTCTGGGTTCAGAGATGGAGGCAACAAACCAGGAACAGTTTCTCGGTTGTTTGCTAAACCAGATGCAAAGCAGAAGTTGCAAAGCAGTTTGCTTTATTCCTACTGCCCAGATTAATCATACATGAGTTTGCTGTGGGTATGCACGCACACACAAAAAATAGGCATCATGTGAGAACTGGGTCTGCCAACAGACAAATACCTGTGCACAGAAGTCTTCTCTAACCTGATGGCCTCAACATGTTTTGTTCCACATCCCCAGTCAGCTCCAGCCAGTGGTCAGGAACCTCAGGAGGTTACAGTCCAAGGCAGGTTTGGAGCATAAAAGGATGCTTGTGTTTTTCAGGACCATGAAAGTTGAATGTGCTACATTTTCAGCTCTTGAGATAGGTTGCAAGAAAGCAGGTGCCTGTGAGAAGAATGCCTTGATTTCAGGATGACAGGATCAGTGGGGAGGCTCAGATGTAGGCCCCAGAAGCACTGATGGGGGGCAGTGATGGCACTCGTGAAAGTTGACTGTGGAAGGCAAGCTGGGAAAGCATGTCATGAGATAGTGGAAGGTATTTTAGATATGAACCTTTCCTGCCCTTCCACATCACAACTGGCAGCTTTTCCATAGCTTTGTTCAGGTGTGTCTTCTGGGACTGTGCTACACAGGAAGTTTGGTTTTCTGAGCCACATGAAGCCCCCACATAATAGGTTGGCTCACTGGACAGGTACAGAGATTAAGGGTGGATCCATGTGCATTTCTAGACAGGAAAAAAGGCCTACAGCTTCCAGCATGCCCCAGCCAGATATGGGAGTTGTAGGCTTTTCTTTGTTTCTAAACTTGCAGCTTAAGATAACCATTCTTGAGATGCTTGGCCCCAGAAACATGGCCCTGCCTTTCACATACACTGAAAAGAGTATTTCTTTCAAAGTAGAGACGATGTACTTGGAAATAAACTCTTTCCCACAGTGCACAATTAACCTGTTGAATTTGTGGGCACAAAATGCAGCACGCACAGTCGTTGGACAAAAGGTTTAGGTAAATGCCTAACAAATAGTTTCAGTGATGATTTCAAGCCATAGGAGCCTGAAAAAGTACTTTGCATGTTCAAAATAACATTTTCTATATCTTGGAGAAGTTTTGTGGGGCATCTGAAGAGGGGTTCTGGATCTAAAGACAAAAAGAAGAGTCTTGTGTGAATCACGGGCCTGTTCTAGCGTGTCATTTGCTGCTGATGGAAGCTGCACTGTCTTCATCTATATGTGTTGAGAGGGCAGAAATGAATCGGAAGATTCCTTTCAAGATATTTTTAAATCCACCTTTTAGTTAATCCATTCCAGACTAGTCCGCAGCTTGGCTAGACAGAAAATAACTGGTAAGAGAAGAGGTAGGGGGTAAGCCTGCCACACTGGGACCTACTTGGGGAAGACACAGATTCTTTTATCTGGCCAGGGTCCTCTTTCCTTCCATTCACAACTTTGGACCCGACTGTGGAAGGAATGCTGTGTAAAGGAAGAGAAATGTTGCTTCTTTTTCCCACAAGGTATTTAGCAAGAAGTAGCAAGACTGGCATGTCCTATCAGTGAGGTACTAAAATACCTGGGCACTGAGCAAGCCTGTTGTTTATGCAACCACCTTGTGGATACACATGGCTTGATGATCCAGAGTGAGTGAATGCAAGTGCTCCATGATGCTGTTCCTATACACAAAGGATGCAAGAGGAAGTTATCATAATAAGGAGATAGAATTGGATGCAAAAGGTAGCATGAGGCATTTCAGATCTTTTAAAACATGTAAATAGTTCAGAGGAACAATATCACAAAAACTACAAATTTAAACAGGGTATATTTGAAGAAGTGGTGACTGTACCTTGCAAATTTTTAGTCTGAAGTCTGAAATAAGCAGTGCTCAACAACAACAAAAATTGTATTATTTGGGTTTATATGTATTTATTGGGTTTTGACTTGTTAGCCATCCAGAGACCTGCAACGTATTGGACAGGGTAAAAAATACCTAAATAAATAAAATAAAAAAGTGGTGATTCCAGCTGTGCTTTGCCTGTTATGTCCCTGTTTTGTTGGGTCACTTTCCCATTACATTTTGTTAACATGTCATATTGCATAAAAGAAAGCAAAAGAAAAATAAATAACGCTAAGCAGGACAAGAGGAATTGTAAAGTCTTTCATATATTTCATTCCCTTCAGTAGAAGCCAACCTAATGATTTCATCTCTGCTGAATGTTGAACAAACTCAGTCGACTTACACAAAGTTGCATAAGGTCCAGCCACTTCAGTGTCATATGATTTTAATTAAGCAGAACAGCTCTCTGAGCTCAACTATAGCTAAATGGTAACATTGTGCATGAAATACGGGAAGAAATGCTGGTGTAATCACCAGGGCAAAAGGGAATTTGTTACAGGGTGAGTGGGGGAATAAATACATTACCTGATGGTATCACAAGGCCGTTCAATAGAAATATGTCAGGCTGAGGCGGCTCTCTCTCCACTTTTCCAGCAAGTAGGGCCCTCAAAATGCCTTAGAAGTGGAAATAAATCCTTCTAGTCCATCATCTAAGGAGTCCTGGACAGGGGGATGAACCTGATGGCCTTACTGGCCCCTTCCAAGTTTATTATTCTGTGATTTTATGACTTGTTGCTGGTGCAGTGTCTCACCATGGTTTATGTGGGTATTTTGCAAGAAGCATAGAAGTCTCTCATTTATGCAGGAGATGTTCAAAAGCACCTTGCTCTTCTTTATCTAGCAGTGTTTTTCATCATTAACATCTTGTAGAACAGTATCACACAAGCTCACAGTCTAACTGAACACACCCATTCTTTTCATGTATTGTGGCAGTTAGGAATGGTCTTAGTATATTGCCTTAATGCAACACCATTCACTAAAATCATTTTTGTATTCTTATACTATAGTTTGCAGTTATTTTTACTTTGAAAAGAAATGCAGTGGTATTCATGCACAACCTAGAAGGATAAGTACATTCTCAGATACATTATTAATTTCTGTACCATTTACTTCACTAATCAGCTGCATATTTCTGTAATAGGTTTGTTTATCTTAAGCTGCACTATCTCTTGCTTATTAGATAAGGCTTATTCCACCAAAAGTGCCATCTTCTCCCTGAGAAATTAATAGGTTTGTCTTCACGGGTGCCCTAGAAATCACTGCCATTTCAGAGAAAAGAGCTCTCTTCAAAAATTATCTCTTTCTCGATAGCAAAATAATAACACAGAATTGATCTCTTTTTGTTTAGCCAGCAGACGCATCCCTTCAGTGTTTCCCCAGATATTCCTTGATTGTACTTGACTGCCATCTGCAGTTCTCTTTAATTATTGTTTCTAGAAATCACCTACCATTTTATAAATTATACTTCTGCTAGAACTATGTATTACAAAGAAAACATGCAGTGCCTTTAAACATGCCATTTCTTTTTAACTTCAGGAGTGTCTCATTAACATTTCTTTTTAGTCTGCACAAGTTTCTTCTTACTAACGTCAGCACTTCAGATATTTGTGCAAGTTTATCGGTGTACCTCAAGGATAACATCGCAGTTTGTGATTGGCCCTAGAGCAGTTATCAGTTTGTCTGACCAGGTGCAAATACAAGCTGGCCAGTACCAAAGGTCTTTATTTTAGGCTGAAGAAAGATGGATTAAGATATTTGTGATGTAATGAATTAAGTTCCTATAGTGCTTGAACGAGATCGCTTGTATTTTGTATCTTTTCTGCCCAGGTTTCCCAAACAGCTTTGAGGAGTTACAAGCAGAAGAATGTGGCATTCTGAATGGATGTGAAAACGGGCGCTGTGTAAGGGTTCAGGAAGGGTATACCTGTGACTGTTTTGATGGCTATCATCTGGACATGGCCAAAATGACATGTGTTGGTAAGAGTGTATTTCAATATTTTGTATTCTGACTGTTTGCATAGTTTGCCAGACATAGGAGAATGACAAGGCATCTCTGAATGTAGGCATCAGATATGTTAAGTGTTTCTGAACCCTGTGGTCCAGGAGGATATTCCACTGCTTATGACTCACTGAAATTAATGGGAATCCTGTAAGAGTACCTGATTGGTAGCTCATGCTCTTCTGAGCAAGGTTTACATAAAATGAAAGAGTGTTCTGGTGGATGGCACTACAAATACACAGGCAGCCAAACATTAATCTCCCACCCTGTTTACATGGCTGGGGACCCACTGCAACCCATCTTGTTGCCTTCCACCTTGTGGGGCACTTTTTAAATGTATTTGTGTGCAAGATGGAAGATCAGAAGAAGACAGAAAGTCTTTCGGTTTTGTACAGATTGAGAAGAAGGGCTAGTGGACAGGTCATCGCTGACTGTTCCTTCACAACATCTGCTGCTTTACCAACTGATTTTGCTTGCTTTTTCTTCCAGATGTGAATGAATGTGATGAACTGAACAACAGAATGTCTCTCTGCAAAAACGCCAAGTGCATTAACACTGAAGGATCATACAAGTGTTTGTGCCTCCCTGGTTTTGTCCCCTCAGACAAGCCCAACTACTGCACACCCCTGAACTCAGACACAGATAGTGAACTGGAGTAAGAGAAGCAGTGGCTGCCGTGTAACTTTAAGCCCATATACTCTGCACTGTATAAAGAAAAGGAAGAGAGAAGCATATTTAACTTGAGTCAAGGATACTCCTAATCCAGAGGTTGGATGCACATGGAAGAAAGCAATAAAACGTGTCTTCTTAAAAGTGAATGGTGATGGTTTAATATACATCATCTTCACCAAAGCAACAGACCAAAAGGACACATTTCCTGAATGGAAGAAGTAATTAAGTATACCGTGTGTTCATAAATAAAATTCATGAGAATAAGCAAAATGTGCTGTTATTTTGAACAGAATGGTGGATTTTGTTTCTGTTTTTCTTTTTTACTATTGCTTGGTTTATTTGGCATTTAATTAGTTGTGAAAATATTTTATAGTACTTTTTATTTAGCAGTTCTTTGCCTACAGTTCCTTTGGAAGCTTTTCCTCCTTTGATACAGATATTGTAATACAAGCAATTTTCTAACCGTGGTTATACACAAAATAATGCTCGTCTTTGTCTGGAACATTGGCCAGTGACTTTTTAAAAATTGCTCAACGTCTGCCCTGTGGAGCAGGTACTGTTCTTTAAAATAATGTACAGTTCATGGGGAGAGATCCTTTGTATTCATTTTGTATTCCATGTGGCCTTTTACTGCACTTAACATGCCTTAGAACCTGCCTTGCCAAGTTTCAAAGCTGCTAGAGGATGACCATTGGATATCTTTTGTAAACTGCAACAAAAGATCTGAGCTCCTGTTTGTATTGTAATGTGTAAATTGAACACAGATTGTGTACTGGTTACCCTAACATATTAAAGCTGTATATTAAAACTCAATAAAATCTACTGTTTTTTAGAAAAGAGATGTGTACTAGTTCTAAGACTTTCCCTCATTTCTTTCCATTTGTTTTTATTGCACTTAAGCTTGTGTTTCATAATGTAGATACTTATTCAGGACCAAAGCACATACCTTTTGTTTGCTCACAACACTTCCCAGACTGTGGCAAATTTAGCTGCTGTGTAGTTCTGTTGGGATTAAAAGGTGGGGTACATCTATTTTTAATAGAGAAATTTGCTTCACCTTCCACAAGGAAAAAGTTACATCTGTCACTGCACAATTGTAAGTGAGGCTGTTCTAGGCTATACAACCTCCATTTAATTAAACTGGTTTTCCTTCTGAATAGCATGGATAGGATTTCACAATATGTATTTGGACTTCATTTCAAATACATATATGCTTAGAGTTGCTACCCTGAGTGCTACACACACACATTAGGGGGTGGGGGGGAGGTAACCTTCTCTAGACTTCTTTTGACAAATCAATGCAAAGTCAAAATATGGATAGCAAAGAGCCTGGAATACTGGCCAATAGCTTTTAAAATGTGTTAAATGTCTGCTTTGCAGACCAAACTTTGTTTAAAGGATTAAAAAAGAGAGAGCAAGAAATTCTTTGTTTTGCATTCCACATGGCCTTTTACTGCACCGAACATACCTTAGACTCCAGGTTTCAAAATAGCTAACAGCTATTTTATTCCTGCTTGTATTATAACAGCAGACTATGATACTTGAGCTGAAAAAGGATACTGGTTCATATTAGGATTCCAGAACTACACCTAGATATACCCAAAAATCCATACAGAGAAGAGGCTATTTTTTTCTTTCTTATCAGGATTGCATTTATGATTAGTTTGGCCGGACGCAGTGGTGACAATGTTCCTATTATATACATGAATTCTGTTTAATCATTACTATTGGATGCTACTTTAAAGTATCTAAACATGAGCATAAGAACTGAAATCCTATGCATATCTATTCATTGGGTTGGTGGGACTTAACCCCACGTAAGTATATATAGGATTGCAGAGAAAAACAGTTTTATATAGAAGAACATGGAGCTAAATCTGATCATAATAAGGTTGATGTCTCAATAGGCATGTGTAGAGTTGTGCTGCATATCATATGTAAAGAAACTGGAAGACTGTGCCACAGTTTAACAAACTCTTACGAAGCCTGTTGAACTGTTGATTTTATACTGAATATTCTTGCCAACTTTTCAAAGTACTTATCTTGGATATCTTGGAGATTGTGGAAAATCTCCATAGAGATTGAGAATTTGGAAATTTAAATTGAGGCTTGCTATAAATATCTGCCAAACCCTGGCAGCCTCCCTAGATATTCTGGAGAAAGCTCAGCTACTTCTTACATCTCCCATGCCAGTCTCCCCAGTACCATCTAGCGGAAGCAGCGCATCTTGTGGCAACACTCTACTGAATATTTCATTGCCTCAGTCCAATTCATTAGCTGCCACTTGCTGGCATCAGGGAACCAATGGAGCTCATGGACAAGGCTTGGGTTGGCAGGTGCCCCACCTCCCTTTTAATTGCACATGAAATCTCTTTTGTGTGACTTCTGCACAGTACTGTAGTGTGAGAACAACACAGTCAGGAAAGATATATGGTATATTGCCAACTGCATCATTTCTGTTTGTATCATTATGGCAGGCATGCCATATGACTTTATCTCAAGGCCAAAATTGGACAAAAGTTGCCCAAAATACCAGCATATATTAGCTTGGAGCCTTTACGACCATTAACTAAGCCTTACAAGGAGTATTTCAACCTTTTGGAATAGGGGAGAGTCATGGGCAACTGCCAAATGATTGACAGCCAGGGAGGAGGGACCATGATCAGGGGGAGGGGCAGGGCTCTCCAGGAAATCCCAGAGGGTCAGCACTCCTATACCATGGAATGCAGGGATCACATGATCAAAATGTTCTGCCATTTCCATGTTATTTTCCTCCCTGTGCAAAAGTAGCTGATTTGAACAAGAAGTTCTAGCATAGCTTTCTCACTGACGTGTTAATTTTTGGGTTTTTTTTAATCTGTAGTTGAGTTTGGCTGAGAAATGGTGGTTGACCGTTTGTTACCCTCTGCTTGTTGCAGGAAGGGAAGGATACTGTTGGAGACACTCCACCTGTCCAGGTGGTGAGAAGTCCCAAGCCACAGTACCCACCAGGGCCTTACTGGTGTTTTGCAGTATTTCTGTTTACTTACAGATACACGAGTTGAGAGCAGGTAGAGGGAGCCATGGCTTAAAACACTGGTCCCACATCAGCTATACAGGGAGCCAACCAGCACCCTAAAAAGCTGTCAACCAATATTCAAAACTTGAGGTCACCCGCTCTGACTGAAAGTTCAAACTTCACACTCTGCTTTTGTTTCTTTGCATAGAGAAAGGAAGCCTTAGGTGGAGAAGAGAGAGGTGCCTGCCCCCATCGCTTGCTAGTTTTCCCTTTTCCAAACAGGATTCTGTGTGGGAATCAATGGGAAATACTATTCTCAGGTGACAAAGGATGTGCCCAACCATACCTGGCCCCAGTAGCCCTCTTTTATCCAAAATACAATTTCAAAACAATACAGATATGAGCAATCTCCCTCCATCTAAGCAAAATGTTTTTGGAAAAGGGGTGCGGGGTACTCCTCAAGAACAGAAACATTTGGAAGCAACAGAAGGGGAAATTAAAAATAATGTATATTACCACAATATCAGAAATGTGATGCTTCAAAAAGCCAGGCTAGAAGTGATATGGGAGCTCATGATCTCTTGTAGTTACACTTAGAGTTCAAACAGCCTGGGTGGAGGAGACCTGAATTGTACTGGGACTGTGGCAGTAGGAAAGGGGAGTTTACGGCCCTTGCTCCATGCCATCTTCCTGAACAAGATCCCCCAAGCTCCTATTTTAGTCTAGGAAGCAAAAGGTAGTTATTTTGGAATCTTTCTTTTTCCATGAGGGGCAAATAGGGGTGTGGGTGGTAGCGGCAATGATTAAAGCCCCACATTTCACCCACATTACAGCCACAATCCAAGTTTGACCACTACACCTGTTGCACCTGTTTTAAAAACCTGCAGGATCCTGTTTGTGGATTTCATGCATCACATATAATTTGCCCTACAAGCAGCTTCATCTCTAGCTGGTAGCTAAGGTTATTTGCACAACCCTGGGGTGAAATCATTAGAAGCCTTGGTCCTCCATGTTTCTGTTTTGATTATGCAAGAGATTTAGGCAGGTTAAACCAACAGGGGATCTTCCCTTGGTACTGTAGAGATGGGATGCCCTAGGAACCTCTCGCAGAAAATTATGAACTGTTCAATGAACTGTAATTGCTAGGATTCTTGAGGAGAAAGCCATGGCAACCAAACTAGACAACCAGTTAATGGGCTTCTCTGCATGAGCATTTTAATCTGCCTGTTTACTGAAGCTCCTGCTTCCAGATTCCCTGTGGGATTAAGATCACAGTGGCACTGCAGTATAGCAGCACTGCGGAAATACATGTGCTCCTCCTGGTGTGGTTTCCAGATAATCAACACCTCTGTACTAGGCATTTATTGTGCACTCCGAATTTCTTATTCACGGTAGATCACAGTGTTTGACATGATGTTATCATCCTCCAGTTTGTTCCCCTTGCTTTCCAATAATTTCTGCAGCTTGTTTTTAGAGCAAGGAATGTGTAGTATTATCTGGAAACAGAAGAATGAACCAGAAGTACCGCAGCTCTGCTACACTACTCTGCCACCTTGTGGTTATGTAATGGAGCCTCCAGAAAGACAAAAATCTCTGCAGGGGCAGAGAAACATATATAAAGGCATTGATCTTAATCCCTCAAAGAATCTAGAAGCAGAAGCTTTAGTAAAGTGGTGGGTTAAAAGCTTCACATGGAAAAGTCTAACACTGGACTGTCCTCCATTCAAAAAGACCCTGCAGAAATTGTTGTATAGCACCAAAGGGTCCTTGGAGGATGACAATCTTGTGCAAAGTGGCCACAAACTATCATGAAGGAGGCATCAAGAGTGCAGAATAAACGCTTTGTGCAGCAAAGCCATACACAACAGTTTTTATGCTACCAATGGCTTTTTAGCAGATGAGGTGCTACATAAATCTTAATAATAAACATATATTAATGGAAGATAGACATAAATTCCATTCTTCCTATGACATTGTACTTTTGGCTGTTACATATGACTGTTATTGGTGTCTATATCATCATCATCGTCATCAAATAAACACCACATCACACCTGAAAGGAGGACACATGGAAGAGGACTTGTATTTGCATCACATCCTCTCCACTCCCCCGACCAAAGGTCAATACAACATGGAATGAAAATATGACAATGGATTGTATAACGTGTCCGCCACCCCTTCACAAGCCCCTTGTAGTGATATTTGCAAAACAATAGCCAGGGTTTTTTCCCCTCTCACGCCTCCAAATTGTTCTCTAGCCAGCTGGAAAGGTGACCTAATGTGAGAGACACAGCTGGAAAAAAGCAGAGTACTGGGTTGATTACTTTTCCAGCCTTTATAGTTTTAGCATTGTGAAAAGGACCCTCTAAAAGTGCAACCAGTACAGAAATGCCTGCCTGAGTTTTCCAGGAACCTGGCCTGGCCAGACCTGTAATCTGAGATGTGGTATGCTCGTTGACTTTTATTGGCTTCCTCCGGTGCTGGTCATGATGGCTTGATGCGAACCTTCCTAGCACACTCTTGGATATGGAGGAAGGCAAGCAGGAGAAGAATAGGCATTCATGTCAGCTACATATGTTTTAGGTTTAGTTATGTTAGGATACAGGGGAAAATAGGTTGTGCTAAAGTCCAAAAAGAATTTATGATTTTATGCCGTGCCTGACAAAACTTGAGTGCTTCCACACAAGGCTTTTTTGTGCAATCACCATGCCAGATTCACCGTCTGGATCTTGAGCAATTTAGTGTATATGTGTTTCAAGAACTATGTTATAGCATATTATTTTAAGTGTTCAGTATCCCCACTGGAGTTTCTGGCTCCTTTCATAATCAAGGTAAAAAT